TTTTCAAGAATCCACTGGGCCTGGATGAAAACAACCAATCAGAGCTAAGAAAGATACAAAGACAATTTTGAAGCTTGTAGATAATTGATTGTTGGGTCCCAGTCCCAGAGCATCTGTATTTGACACCTTGGGAATGAGACTCAACAATCAACTATCTTTCTTTGCTTGGTTGTTTTTGTCCAGGCCCGTGGAATCTTGCAAAAAACCCAAACTGGTTTTTCACAGATTATCTGTCACATGTACTAATGTCAGAATATAGTGAAGTTTCAGCTAAAATGACAAAAATATTATTTTTTAAAAATGCCCTACTGCAGCTTTAAATATAGCCTAGAGGAGTAAACCTATAAGCCATGCTTTAGGTTAATGGCCAGTGACCCACACTAACTTAATATGGTAATAACGTATCAGAGGTGTGTATTTACAAACAGTAATGGTTGGGGTGAGATATTTAGTGTGATGGTTAAAGTTAAAGTTAGGGGTGATGTAATGCCTTATGTCAAGTAGGTTAGATGGTAGACAGGTATAGAAAGATGTGTGTGTGTCTCTCATGACCTTGTCTGTAATATTTCTAACACTTCTGATGTTGTTTTTGTAGATGAAGACCGAAGAGAAGTTTTAATCCTAGAGTTAGGCTGGGGTTTGGACCTGTGAATGAAGCTTGACATTTTTTTACATTTTAGCTGAAACCAGTAGCCTTGCTGTAAGGCATATGCAGTGTTTTCTTTACCCTTGACAAAGTTTTGGATGTCACTGAATTTGAAAAATACTGTATGTGTGCACTGAGCATTATACTGAAGCAATTTGTGATGAAGAGAAGCACAGGTAGTTGGGATTAGTCTCATTATCATCACTGTGGTATCATCCTGTTCCACCTACAAAGCTAAATAATGGTATTGTTAAGTTAAGTATTAAAAAAGTGGACATTACTAGAAAAGTTTTTGCTTCCTGTCAATGTGGCACAAAATTATTTTTAAGGCTGCAGGGAACCCACTGTCATACAATAGTTGGCAGGATCACAATATTACAGAAATTTCACAATTTGGAGAGAATTGGGAGATTTTATCCTTTGAGGAGCTTAGAAGGAGATATAAGACTTGATTTTAATTGGATTTTTGCAATATGCTCAATTGAAATCAATCCTCTCAAAATTTCCCAAAGAATACCTTGATTACAATTACGAGACAGAAACATTTCAGGTCTTTAGCATCATCCAGACACACTGTATCAGGTTTGTTACAAAATGTTATCCCAGTCCTCCTTGAATGCCAACATTCAGACTCATCATCACTCAAGATCTAGGGGTCTGACAGAATGGGAAAGAATGTGGAGGGACCCTCTGGTAATATCAAAGTAGGACAGATTCAGAATTATACAATAAAAAATCCTCCACAGAGCATATATCACACCCTCAAGACGTAAAAAACAGACCCGAGCTTCTCTTAGCGCTGTTGGCATGGTTGTAAACAAGTAGAAACTTTGACCCATATGCTGTGGATGCCACAGGATTTGGCATTGCCCTGCAGTCAAGTCCTTTTGGACAGAAGTGTTTCACTCAGTCTCAGTAATGATGAATATTAATCTCTCTCTCAAATGAATTGGGATAAAGTTTTAAAATGTGCTTTAGCATTGAATATCTGCAATTAATATGAAGCAGCTTCTGAAATTTTGGATCAGGTTCACAGGACGATAATGAAATGGACAATTAATTGTGAGACTCTGTACTGTATGTATTGTTTATTTTCTATTATATATTACCGACTCCATAGTTTCATATTAGTGCAGAGAATCATGGGAATATTTTATTTTAGATATGGCCTAAAGTGCCTAGAGTAAATCTATAAGCAATGGTTTTGTTTAATGGCAAGTGAGCCAAAACAACTCAATAAGTTGAAAACGTGGTGTGTTTTCATCTTGTTGTGGAGTTCTTCTGCCCCAATGTGGCCAGTTAATATATATGTCTATGTATACAGATAATATAGGTGTTAGGCAACATTCTTCATACAGGGGGATCATAAATAAGTATATAAGTATCCTGCAGCCCATTAATTATTTTTTTCTAGCATTAGTAACAACCAGGGTTTTCAAGAGATAATCCATATGGTCAGGTTTGGGGGCAATCCAGGCATTTTTGGATGGATCTTTTCCTTGGTTGCTATGCCTGTTGTCAAAAAGCCCTACATTATTGTAAAATATGGTCTACAGAACATCAGATCAAGGTCAGTGTGCAAGCTTTCATCATTATTCTATTTTATTTATCATTTATGTTATTCTATAAATTTGATTATCTTTAAACTTTAATTGCATTATACAACCTTGTGTTGTATAATGATGAATACATTTCCTTGATTGATGTTCCTACAGTAGCCCAGAACAGATAGGAAACTAGATAGGGCCTTTTGCATTTTTCGCGCTCACCCTAGTTTCTCCTACACACTTGGAAGGCTGAACAGTATTCAAATGGTTGCATTCTGCAAATTGACAGCCAGATACCACTGAATATACACTGGTCCTTTAAGCACTACACCCCAATATAAAACAACAAATACATGACAATAAATTAGTGATTCTGACTGTGGACACATATGTTTAAGGACAGATAATATTTATGGATTATGTTATAAACACACCACATATCTGTACATACCAATATAATATTGAAACGATTCTCAATTCAGCAAAACCCCAGATTACATTCAAAGTTTTTTTAAATGTTGCCAAATTTGGAACAATTGGTTCTTACAATATGTGCTCATGGCAGTATGGTTAATGTCAGGGAAAGATTGTGGCAGTGTGGAATCTAACTATCTGTGACTCAACAAGAACTCTTCTGCATCATGACCACCACCCAAACCTTCACACCTTTACTTTCTACCTCTCCACATAAAGAAACATTACTTCTTGCGGTGCTGTTGAACATTGATGTCCTAAGATACACATACATTATTTCAGACAAGTATTCATCAAAGTATATCCCTCTAATATTTCTTCCAGCTGCCATACTGTGACTTCCACTCATATTCCTACATTTATATTTGTGGATGGGCTACAAATTAAAATAAATAATTCAACCACCGAAATGAATGAATTCTGTGCCTTCTGTCTGGAACAGAGCCTACCAACCTATCAACCAGAGCCTTCACATTCACATTAAGATACTGAACCTTAAATTGCTCCTAATGCTGTGCCATTAGTGTATGAATGGGTAAATGTGACATATAGTGTAAAGTGCTTTGAGTGGTCAGAAGACTTGTAAGGCACTATATAAGTACAGTCCATTATCTTTTTACACCCTGAAGCTTCCCAAGGAGGAATACAGTCTGACCTGTTGGCTAGGGAGCTGCTCCAATACAGCACTTCAGTGGCGATAATGAGGGAAGTATGAGGGCATAAGTAAGTTCCAGATTACAGAACAAGTTGTAACATTTTACTTCAACACATGATGGACATCTGGCAAACAAGCTGAATAGTACCTAAATAAGTTCATTTTTCCCCACAGAGCGTGTGATAAACCTAGAGGTTATTAAGGTTTTTCTGGTGTGCCTCCATTCAGAAGCCAATAAAATGTATCTAAAACAATATTTAGCACTCATTAACGGCTCTCAGTTGTATTTTACTGAAATAAAGATAAGTACAATAGCATCAGCAAACTCTTTTTTCCCCCTACATAAATCTTATTCATTCAACTTAGTTTCACTCATTTTTTCCAAATCATGGCATTTTTGTCTGCTACAATCAATGAAAACGCTTTGTCAGACGGCAGATGATCAAAACAATCCAAATGATTGATCAAAAATATCAATAAATAACACTGTCAGTACTGATTGTCGACTTTGCGGTTGAAAAAGTAAAACCCTAAAGAAATGAAAGCAACATCCAAAGGACAATCAATGAGGCAGACAAAATATGGACAAGGCTTAGAAATGTCAACAGTGATCAAACCTCTGACTCCACAGGGTACCTGAACAAATGAAATAAGATATTAAATGCAAATTTATTTACATCTCTACCAAAATTTTCCCTAACTCCAAATCCAAAGGGAAATAGTGATAATAATGATACTGCGAGAAACAGGTACAGGACAAAACAGCAAGACCAATAATCATGTTACAGGATCAACATCGGATCTGATCTTTCATTCACATTCTAAATCTGAAACTCATGTCTACTGTTTGAATATTCTCTCAGAATGTGTCAGGAGGGAGATTCTTCCTGCAGTTTGAAATGTTTTCAGAGTGAAGAAAGAACAATGTCACCCTCTAGTGGAATAACAAGTCCATATTAATCACGCCACAGAAATTAGTCTGTGGAAAGAGATGTATCCAACATTTAGGTCAGGCTTTTCAGTTATACCTTTTGAATGGTTAAATGTGTGTTAATAAAGTGCTGAAAAACATACCAATGGCATGGATTTGGCAGAATAGCCCATGTTTATGATAAAGGCCAAACAGCTGGATCATACAGGTGAAAGTTGCTTTGGTTCCCCTTGGATTTTGTATGTGGGGTGAGCACACTACTGAATGACATGACAACGATATACAATTCAATGTTTATTGCAGAAAGACAACAATCAGTAAAGACATGCCAAGATGTTCTAAATTAAGTCCAGGCTGAAGACCGCCACTAGCACTGTAAAGATGCAGCTCGAAATGGCAGATCAGTAAAGAATCACAAGATAAATAAAAGGGCATTCAAGTTGTTTCACGGTTTAGACCAAGTTATTAAATAATCACTAAACCAACTTGAACCAAATGATAAAGCAGAAACGTGAAGTCAAAAACTTGGTATTACATATTAAACGTCTGTTATGTCTATCAGGGCCAGCAGTTGGATCCAACTGAGTTGGTTTCAGAGGAACCACTCACAAAAAGCACAGGTATGCGTTGATTCAACATAGCCTGTGTTCAGCTGTCAATTTACAGATGGTGTCAATCCATTACTAGCCTTTCCACACAGGATTTGGCCGTAAGAGCTTTCATGCTATTCAACAATGCAGAGGCCAGTTTACACTGTTAAAAAGGAGAAACCTTTATTTTTTTTAAAGACCATTAAAATAAATACTATACAGAATCCAATGTAGAAAACTTGATACACTGTTTCTGTCTCAAAAATGGTTAACAATTCCGTAAAGTCATTTTAAAAAATAGCACTGACTATACACCCCAAAACATGACAGTTCTCCTAAACCAGACACCAAACCCCATGATGACAGGCATTTTAATATGAGAGCGCTTAGAAAGAGTAGAGATTTCAGGGGTGGGGATCTCTATATACTTAATCATCTGTAGTTTGGTCCTTTCATGTGAAACGCCCCCCCCCTCCCCCACACATTTTGGCGAGGTAGGTTACAAAAAGTCACCACCACTTATCAAAAATCCAATATTTTGTTTAAAAATAAAATCTAAATGAACAATAACGTCAAAGAGAGATGAAAATCCAACCAGGTCGTCAGGGTTAGGAGGCAAAGTCTCCACAAAACTCACCGTTGTTTTTGCCTCCAAACATCTGTGGCGCCCAGTCAGTCAGTCTTCAACTGAATGCTACTGCACAAATGACTGTACAAGTCAAGCAGTATGTACAATAGCAATAAAAAAAATATATATATGAAACAGCAGTAAAAGGATCAAAATGGTAAACAACTCATTCATGATGGATTTTACTATACAGGTCTTTTTATTGAATATGCCCTGTGTACTCTAGCCCCCAAACCTCTGTTCTTAACATGATCATGGATGTGTGTTAAGGCTGTTTAAGTACACTGAAGGTTGTTTAAATACTGATCGGTCAAATGCAGCATTTTCTCCCCCATTCAATTTAGATCAGTGTGTTGACTCCAAACTTAACTGCAGTCTAAACCATTCATCCATCACAAGCAGTGCAGCACCTGGAGACACTACAGGTACAAATCACAGCCACATTTCTCAAAAGCTTCAATCATCTTCGTGTTAGCACTGTGTATGTTACCAGCTGAGCAAAGATATTAATTTAATGTTAAGCCTTTGCTAACAGAGCCATTAACCTTTAAAATAAAAAAAAAAAAGTGAGCTTTGTAATTTTGTGGCCCCCCCGACCATTTACGTTTTGAAATGTGCTTTTGGAAACAGGGTTATGTTTTGCACTTGTCAGACCCAGTTACAACCTCACTCATTTTATGTTAAAAGTCCTGTTTTAGACATCAATGTGGAAACGTTCAAATTAATGCTTTAAGTTTGAGAGTAGAGAGCTCAGCTGTAGGAAGAATTCGGGTGCCAATGTGGGCTAATGGAATATGGCGAGCAGACGAAGCAGGTCAGTAACTCATCCTTTCACGATGGCCCAAGACTATTTCAAAGGTTGAGAAGGAATAATGGCTGCATTCTTCCTTCCTGTTGAGGGTAAAGTCATGGTGGAATTTAGCAAAAGAAAGTTCTTAGAATTCAGATCGTATAAGAAACAAGGTTTGACTTCTAAAATAAGCGGGGTGGGGTGGACGAAGGGCGTGTGGATTCTTCTAGATAAGATCAGCCACATTCATGGGCATCTCCTCAACGGTGGTGTTGTAGAATGTCTCAATATCCCTCAGGGTTCGCTTGTCATCCTCAGTCACCATGTTGATGGCTACTCCCTTTCTGCCGAAACGACCACCCCGACCAATCCTGACGAGGAGGGAAAAAAAAAAAAAAAAAGTTAATTCTGTTTCACTCAGCTAAGAGCATCTAGCAGTGGCAAATTGTATCTGATTCATCTTCACATCATACAGGATGGAAGAGAGATCAAGTGTTTACAGACATAAGGTTTTTGACGAGTGTTTAACAACTAAAGACATTTAGAGTTTAGGCACATGAGGGCAGAAAACACTGTGCATTTTGAAAACAGCATTAACCATAAAATTACCTAGAATGACCAACAAGTTGCAATTATGACTGGATGGTTGACAATAGTATTAACTTATGGCCCAAAAACATTTCCAACTTGTAAATAATCTATATAGGTACTAAAGAAAGTCATCATGACAGGTAATAGGTACTTGGTTAGTAATAAATAAGGAAGCCCTCAAATGTTACATTTTCTAATAAAAAAAAACAGAAGTTACATCCCATGCATGTATGATATGCAACTTAACCATTTTGAAGAACACAATGTAGTACTTCCATTATACCTATTGTTCAAGCAAATCCATAATTTGACATTGGCACCCATGTGCTTTTTACCTGTGGATGTAGTTTTCCCTATTGGTCGGCAGGTCGTAGTTGATAACTAGGGACACCTGCTGGACATCAATACCTCTGGCCTGGGGGGGAAACAATGACGTTACATCAAATAGTCATTTGTATCCATAGAGCACAAAAGCAGTGGAAATTACCGATGTCAAGCATCAACTTTCTACTTCATTTAAAATTGTCATTGCATCAAAAAAAATTATATTTTAAAACAAGGACAAGAGTGTATTCTGCCAATTAGTTGCAAGTCAAGGATTTAAACCTAGCCACAGTGGAGGGCAGATAGGATTCTTTACCAAGGAACATTCAGTCCTGCACCAGCACTGCAGATGGGAGGAGAGGGAACCTTGGACTGCACACAATACTCTTCTTCAAGGCTAATCGGACATTGCTCGATAGTCTTTGCTTTAGTTTTACAAATGCAGAGTGGATGTTTAAGAAAGCAAAGATATTTACTCAACCACTACTTTTATTACTCTGTTACACCTTGGAAAGACATAGCTGAATCAGTGAATGTACATGTATGCAGTGTTTGAGACACCGCTGTCAAAAGTATGAGCAGAAACTATAACAGGCTGTTATTTTACATACCAGCAGGTCAGTGGTAATGAGGACTCGACTGGAGCCAGAGCGGAACTCCCTCATGATCAAGTCTCTCTCTTTCTGGTCCATGTCACCGTGCTACAAGATTGGAAGATACAAGAAGACAATGTCAAACCTACAGTACACTCCACAGTATGAGCAGAGTAATAAAGAAATCCAATTTATTATTTAGATAGAGGAATCAGAAGATTAAATGCATCAACTACATTTCCAGCAGTTTAGTGATAAATTTACCACACCATGAATAAAGATTGTGCACAAGAATTGAGCCAAATGATTGTGATCCTGCCAGCTTAACATCCTGTGTCAGCAAAAACACATTTCTTTGCCCAAGTGACAGTGCTGACCAGTGGGGCCTTAATATAAAAGCACAAAGAGTCACCTGCTGGATTCAAGATACTTCCAGCTAAAAATGGTAACCTAAAGCATTCACCTTCAATAATAGACGGCCTTGGCTGGATCCAAAGCAGTTAAAACTGTTTAGAAGACAAGTGGACCCTTACCAGAGCAGAGACTGTGAAGTCTCTGGCATGCATCTTCTCAGTGAGCCAATCTACTTTCCTCCTTGTGTTGATGAAGATGACCGCTTGTGTGATGGTCAGGGTTTCATAGAGGTCACACAGCGTGTCCAGCTTCCACTCCTGAAGACCACCGACAGGTCAGACACAGCCAGCATAAGCAAAAGCAGTTCATGTATACAAAGCATGACCTTCAAGACTCGTGACTCCATCACACTCGCATTTTATTAGGTAAACCGAGCAAATTGTAATGCAGTCCAATACAAGTCCCGCAATAAACGCAACCTTCATAAAAGCTAAAAGATTTAGTGTGGATGCTAATGCTGACTCTGCTTTCACACAATTCTTTATTTTTTCCTAAATGTTTTGGTTACTATTTTTAAAGTCACATGCATTTTTGCAGAAAATTTTCTAGTTTGTTGAAACTGTTGTCCAAAAATAATCAGATTAATAATGTAGTTCGTGGTGCTGTATAAGCAGTGCTAGCTAGGTGACTACAGGGCACCATGGTCATCTTGTACACAAAGTTAAATTCAATGTGACCATTCTCAGACTGCGTCTACTATGCCAACTAAACACCATATCAACTGGAAAATGTTTTGCCACCTCTTTCTCCACATTGATGTAGAACTGGCGGATGCCCTCAAGAGTCAGCTCCTCCTTCTTCACCAGGATTCGGACAGGTTCACGCATAAACTTCTTTGTGACCTCCAAAACATCAGCCGGCATAGTGGCCGACAGTAGGACAACCTTTATATATAAAAAAAATTTAAAAAGCCAAGCTGGTTAAAAATGTATTGGAAACTTTTTCCTCAAGGGTGTCTTGCATGAGCCATGTGATTCAGCCCTTACCTGTGTGCTGCTTGACAGTTTCAGGAAGATGTCATAGATCTGGTCCTTGAACCCTCGACTAAGCATCTCATCAGCCTCGTCGAGCACAAACATTTTGATGTTCTTAGAAGCTGGAAATGGAAATAAAGCAGACTACACGTTTGTTTGCTGTACTGGGGTTTCAAATGCTGGGTGCATGTCTCCAGGACCAACCAAAGGACATGCTGATAGGGAATTGTTGATACTACACAATCACAATGTTCACCGTTATTATACCCCTTTATTTTGATGTTCCCCCCCCCCCCGNNCCCCATCTACTGCTATAGTTCTGTATGGGCCGAATGTAGTGAACACAAACGCATTTCCAATACAATGGCAACAAATAAAGTGCAGCATTTGTCAATTTAGTAGAACAAATACATTTGCCACTAAAATTAGCTTTACATTATTTAATTCATTAGAGATTTGTTTTTAAAGGAAACAAACTGTCCACACAGTTTACAGGAATGTAGTCTAGTAGTGACTATCTCTGGACCCATGCTGCACTGAGCACTGAAGCTAGCAGAACACCAGCTAGAGCAACGCCATAATGAGGGTTTACAGAGTCAGCTGACACGCATGGAATCATTATACAGCAGCTCTTTGTGCAACCAACTTTAACGGTTGTCAAAATACACTGCAATATGCGAAAAAGTTAACCTACTGACAGCTCAGCATTGGTCATAATTCACATTACTTACAGAGGTTTCGGCGAGTTAACATGTCAAAGACACGGCCAGGGGTTCCCACCACAATGTGAGGGGCTTCAGCCAACAGCTTTTGGACTTCGGTGCGAATGCTGGTCCCACCAATACAGGCATAGCAACTGGCTCCCATGTAGTCACCCAAAGCCAGGACCACCTTCTGGATCTAAACAAGAAAAGTTTTATGCTTTAGGAAACTAAAAACCGTAAACGTTCAAACATGCCAGATTTTGACTGAGATCAAACCAATTTACAACTTAGCAAAGACAATTCCTTTCCTTTTTTCTTAGGAGCAAAAACATTATGTAGTACACATGTAAACATAAGCTGTATTCAGAAGTGATTTATGATCATGTCCGTGGACCCCTGCTGTGCCATGGACTCAAGCTGGAAAAACACCAACCAGAGCAACACCACACCAGGGGTTTACACAGTCAGTTGACACGCATGAGTTTCATCATTATACAGCAGTTCTGATTGTACCGGACACCATGTATTATTATAGTGAAAGAGTTAGCAGCAGGAATAGACTATCTGAAGTGCACTAAACTGGGAGGCTGGTTTGATTCACGGCTGGCCTGGCTGATTAAAATTACATCAAATGGTGAAAAATGCTACAGCCATAAACTCCAATTTATTTATTCAATCACTCAAAAAGTCTTACGGCAAAAAAAATATGTCATCAATCTCCCCCCCGGTTCTTTTGTTTGACAACCTACCTGCTGAGCCAGTTCTCTGGTGGGAGCCAAAACCAGGGCCTGAGTGTCTTTCAGCTCCACATCAATCTGCTGGAGGATGGAAATGGCAAAGGTGGCAGTCTTCCCAGTGCCAGACTGGGCCTGAGCAATCACATCGTAACCTAAAACAAAAAACCCAGAAACACATGTTCTTTAAAGACTTCAATAGTGTACCCAGAGAAAGGGGAACTGAAAACTAAAGAAAAAACACTTCACTATAAATTGAACAGTCATCAAATAACCCATAAACCTTTAATTCCATGTTTAGTAACTTCAAGATGCAATATGTACAAGATCAGTCCAGTGATCCAGTGCCAGGGATTATAAATTTAAGTATAAGCAACAAATTTTTCACTTTGTTAAAAGCCAATATGCAACCCAAATTCCAATACCCCTTGGGACAAACCCAAGTCTAGACTTTACTAGAACTGATAATTTCCACATCTAGGTGATATATGTGTATAAATAACTCCTACATGGGTTTTTCTTCTCTGGGGTTAGTCTGTTTTATAAATAGGGGGCTGAGGGCTTGAATAGAAGTTCTTTAAGCAAGACCAAGTGTTGAATCTTTAATTTGTGCTGAAAAACCACCCATTTAGTTGCATTTTCAAATCTCCAGTCAGGACAGCAATCTCTAATGTCAAGATATAATATCAAAATCTTATCATTTCATTATTAATATTATAGTTAATGTGGCCATATAGCACAAGTATGCCAATTGGACCTGGGATGTTTCTCTTCCATTCTGTCAGAAGTGACCCTTTAGTCCTGACAATGTTGTGTAGAGCAGCCCCCTAAACCTGGCTTCATAACTTTAACCAGAGAACCTGCATCAAATCTCATTTTGGCTGTCAAACCATTGCATTGATGTACATGCAATACAGGAGAACAGCACAGATCCACTAGCTCTGCTAAAGCATGCATAGCTTTCCTCTTAAGTTCCCAAATCTAGTTGTTTACATGCTATACAGTACTGCTGCAGTCTGAGAAATGACACGTCAAAAAACATTGAAGATTTGGTTTAAACTAGTGAAGCAGTTGGACTGAAAAAAAAAACAGTGTCTGCTACAGCCATGATATAGGGTAAGCACTGATCAACTCCAATAGGAGGCAGTAATACACCTTTAAACGTTTGCTCCCCATAGACTCAAAATATTTATTATAACAGGGGTCAAATCATTTTCCTAGCAAGGCATTTTGTCATCGTCACTCACTTCTCAGATGGTGCAGAAGTACTGCAGGTGTGCTATTAGGTGGAGTAATATACTGTATTCTTAAAAGTATGTGTGTATGTATATATGTATGTATACATGCATACATGCATACATACATACATACATACATACACACACATACATACACGACAAATTAAAAAACAAGACTGGGCAGCTTCCTGAAAAAGAGCGCTGTTCCCAGCCAAGCTTCCAACACTACACACGTTAAAAACAATGAAATGAACTTTGTGTACAGATGCAACTTGTTATTTGTCTGTTTACTGAACTGAAAAGACTAAAAAGGTAACCATAGTCAGTGGACGTTTATACATAGCAAAAGAGGGCATTTAGAGTTTTCTTTAGTAAAGCCATGTTCCACTTACCCTTGATACAAGGGACAATGGCTCTCTGCTGGATAGCGGAAGGCTTCTCAAAACCATAGGCATAAATTCCCCTGAGCAGAGTCTCGCGCAGGCTCATCTCATCAAAACTGTCCACAATCTGATTCCAGTTGCTCTGGAGGGGGGCAAGACAAACAAGGTCAAACAGATTCAGACACATGCACTTTAACATACACGCAAATCTGCATGACAGTAAGAGGTTCCCTACTGCTTCCTCAAAATATCTTGGACATGTAATGGATGAGACTGACTGTTGTAAAGAGTTTTACTCACCTCGATGATCCCATCTGGCTCCATGCCCTCTGGGCCATTGTCTCTGATAATCACAAGACAAGTCAAATCAATCCAAAATTTAAACATTTGACCATAAACTGGATGGATGAATGAAAACCCCAACAAAAATACTGCCCATTGTCCAATTCTGTACAACCACTCGTAAAACGATGTGCGTTATGTCATATTCGCTAATCTTTTGAGAAGCCTTTAGAACTAAGTTTGTATTTTGTGGTCATATGCGACATCCTAAACACCATTTCCGGTCAGATGGATCGAGAGTTAAGATTTGTCGTTTTATCAGTGCTTATAGGCAAACGCCTTTTTCACGAGTCCGCCATTTCTACTACATTCATTCAAGATGGTCGTTTCTCCAGTCAGGGCCGAAAAGTCGAAAGCGAGTCGATGGGAACAACGGCCACAGCTAGCATACAACATGAAACTATTTTGACTATAACCAATTGTGAATGGCGGATTTTATTGTGTGGTTCGATAGAAAAACGTGCGCTAGTAAGAAGAAAAAGCTCGTATGGTTGTAACCCGGCCCGCTGAAGCCACTGCCAACAGGCCTCTCTCTTCATGTGGCCTTTTATAGAACGCGTCCAGTCAGCGAAACCTTTTAACGATTCCAACGTTACACTGATAGAAACCAGGCACTTGCTTGATGAAGATAACATACACCTCACCCACAGCAGTGTTAGGAAAAAAAGCTTCCAACAGCACTTAGCGGCCTACACTACCGGCATTGTCCAACCCCCGATTAACACTACCACGACCATGTGCGTCCTATGTAAAAAATGAACAAATGTAATTTGTACCGCCAAATCGAGGGCTATCTCCTCTGCGATGTGATAAGAAGGAACTTTCACCGTTCGTATATACCCTTAAATTTGATATTAATGCATTAGCAACAGAAGCATTTGCAATTTAATTTGCGAAGGCCTACACCACGCTCGTTCACGTGCTACCCAGGCGCCGGTTGCCATTTAATTTGCATCAGTCAAGACAAACGGCGATCACAAACATTCATGCCACCTTAAACAAAGATGTAGTTCATAATTCGGGAAGCACGCTTTTAACTAGCCAAATCCTAACATACGTTCACGGTATTGGTTCATGAAATGTGAAGCCCGGTGACTTTAGTCTGAGGCAGGCTTTCGGCAGGCCTTAGCGCCAACGTTAGTCGAAAACAGAATCACCAGCACGCTTCGCTCAATGTCTACTTCGCTCAGTCATAAAAAAAAAAAACACAGATATTTTTACGTAAACAAGTAAATCGAATCGTGAAATGAGAAATACCCATACAACCATAAATAGTTTTCCTCACCTATTATCATATTCAGCCGACATTATTCCAAAGAAAGAAACTGCGGCAGAAATGTCTTATATACGTCGACAACACACAAAGAGGCTTTCTCATTGCAACACATCGCCGTCATTTAGCCATACGCCCGCCCACAGAGGCTTCTGATTGGTCAATTTGTACGTCATATAAAATAGGCGGACTGTAGCGTCTCGAGTAGTGTACGATTGTGTTACCGTTAGCATGCTAAGGGGGCGGGGGTTACGTTTTATAAGCCAACTGCGTGAGAGCTAACCAAGCTCCTTTCACCCGGGCTACTCCGGCGTAAATATTTTTTACTCAGTTCAGCCATTTGTCAACGCAGACAAAAGGCCGGGTAGGGCAGATTTTTTTTCGTCTGAACCATTTTTCGTAATCTTTCGTATTTAGTAATTCAAAAAATGGAAAATTACAGAAGTGGCACATCTCATATCCAGTGATGTAATCTGCACAACATGTAACTGTTGAGTCACACTGTAGTCATCTGTAAAATATCCTAACACAATTCATGAGATAAGCTTGAAATGTGAGTGTGAAGTATTTTCATAGATCATTCCCCAAGATGCACGTTGTTCCAAATTGCAATCCATTATACCAGTGGTACCCAATCCCTTTCCTTAAGGGGGCCCTTTTATATCATTGAGTAAACTGGCAAACCTTAACTAAGTTACATATGTTATGGATATTTCATATTTAGATCAAATGTACAGTCTTCATCATGACTATGGCTCTGGATAACATGAGGCAAAATAATATATATTGGAAGTAAAATGTATGTATATTGTAGCTTTTTTATTAGAGGTGGCACACTGATTATTATTATTATTATTATCTCACAGTCATTTATAAATGCAAGATTTCATTCAGATAGGCCTTATCACACATTCATTTCTGTAGTTCAAGACTTTTTTCTGGTTGTTGTTTTCTTCTCTGCTTCAAAAAGCATTTACTTTAACTGATTAGTTAGTACAGAGACTCAACAGTAGATTACTACTACTACTACTAAGAAATCTGCCTTCCCATGCATAAAAATATTTATGTATTTAAAAACAACCATACATACTTAATAGGCTTCCTTCTTGACAAATTCAGTCGGTTCTTCTTCCTGATGCTTGTCTTTGCCTCTTTGGTTGTTTTAACTGCGTACTTTTCTAATGCAGGCTGAGGTGTTCAAAGTTTAGATCTTAAATAATAATTAGTTTTCTTCACATACATAAACAAAATGCTGAGATATAGGCCTACATATTTTTTTTCTTACACCCCTTTAAATCGGAAAGGCCTTGTGACACCCCCATGAAGCTCTAGTGGGGGTCCCAACCCACAGGTTGGTAACCAGTGGTTCTCAGAATTTTGTCTTGATAACTGATTTTTTGACACTAGTTTGCAAATCTGCCTTTACATGCATGGACAGCTGTTATCACAACACCAATGGCTGTTAAAGTCTTAGCGTGAAGCCACCTTCCCGATTTTGCCATTTCTCTGGGTAGCTTCAACATGATTACAATGGGCCATTGGTGGAAAAGGTTGTGAGATCAAGTGTGACCTGTGACCTTTTACAGAATATACATCTTATACCTACTTGGGCATTGTACTGTCCCTTTCCCTCTCTAACTTTTAGGTAGTGTTCTGAACCCTCTGACCTGAACGTTACCAGTTTGATTCCAGAAAAAAAATGTAGTGACCCTGTGTTGTGTACGGATTCATCTGCATTTGTTGCTCTTACCTGTCTGTATGTAATCCTGGTATACCGCTTCACTGGAAAGTCTAACGATAAATCATAGCAATTTAACATAAATGATCTTTGATTGCCATTTCCAAACCAAACAACCCTGGTAATGCTGAATGGATGCATTTATGTGAATAGTGAAAAAAATACTTTTTGCTGACTGGAATACATTTCTGATTTCATACTTGGTCATTGTGAAACTCTAGAAGTTGTGGGTCAGGTGGCATTTCGGTGAGACAACAAACTAGCTTCAACCTTCTGGTCACGGACATTCACCACCGGTAAATTGACTTTTCTGGTCTACTGACCACAAGCACTTGTCACATTCACGCACATTGATGCCTGCCATGCAAGGGCCAGCCGGCTCACAATACAGCGATTCCAATCCAAAGTGTATACACACACACCCTATTGGGAGCATCGTGAACCCTCCGGTTTGATTGGGGCCTTTCATCACGTGTCATCATCCTCTCTAACAAAATGGAATTCTCAAGTGCCCCAATAGTGTATTTGAGTAAATGTACTATGTAACATTCCACCACTGGAGTCAGGATAACATGTGGATCATATGAGCATAACCAGCTGATGTGCATGCAGTCGCATTGATAAAATGCACAAGCAATTGTTTACCGTGTATTTTTATTTTTAGCAACCATAATGCATTGTAGAAGATATATAAAACTGTCAACTCTGTTGCATCAACTCATGTTTAAAAAAACAAGAAGAAAAAAAAATCAAAAACACACAGCTACAAACAAATTTGTCTTTCATTATAAAAAGAAGAGGAGGGTACTGTAACTCTATTGCAGACATACTGGATCTGTTGCGTAGAAGTCGTGGTCCTCACCAAAATGGCTCTGAAACTTTCAACGAAATACTAACCAGAGGATCTCTTTTGTACTTACTCCAAAAATAACACAAATTAGTAGTCCTCCTTTTAACACAATTTGTTTAAAGCAATAAGCATATCAACACATTTACTCACAGATAAAACACAGAAAAGGATAAATGCAATGTAAAGGTACCCCTTCTTTGGGCCAATATGTAATTCTGGCTTGTCTAATTCTAATTCTGGCTTGCATTAATCCACGGATGTAGATCCAGTCTCCCACATAAAGATGTTTGTATGACTGGGAAGAGTGATTGGGGGGCAGAGGAAGTTTCCGGCACAGGGGTCAATATGTGGCGTACTCCAAAGATGTTGTGTTATTTGTGATTTTCCTCAGAAAGATGCACTAGAACGTCTCTTCATACACCGAAACTGTGCTTTCTGTCGTCAACATGGCAGCCTCAACTATGCATTCTAAGTTCCATTTTTAGCATTACTTTAAATCCATCTAAACATCTTGTTGGAAATTGTTAACTAAATATTATACATTGAAAATGTCATGTTGCACTGCAGTGGGAAATTATGTGCTAACTAGATAGATATCATTGTTAACATAACATTGACTGCAGCAGGTTGTTTTTTTTCTTGGTTTCAAAGGTATCAGCTGAGAGTTTCTCACACTTCTGACAATTTGGAATGGAACACAACATATTGCATGGATTAGATGGATGGCAGGCATGAAAATCCACTGGTACTATTTAACCACAAGCTTACAAAGACTGGTTCAAATAATTTTTGCCATACAGCCACGCTACCTCTGCACTCAAGTGTTCAGGCATCTTACATGAAAGTAAGTCAGATGTGACTGTGGTCCAACCCTGCATCTAGACTGGATTCTTTATATATCTTCATGATCGTCTTCATGCTCCCATTCAGACTGAAAAACACAAGTGGACTACGATAGGATGAAAGATTAGCACATTCCCAAAACGGAAGCTAGTCTTGGCCTCTGTCAACCACAAAGGAATAACCATGACATGGAAATTAAATCAGAGTTTTCAAAGGGTGGAGAGAGGGAAGCAAAGAGAGACAAAAAAGTGAAACAATGACATCACCAACAATAGAAGAAGTTGTTTCTCTGGATGTTGGCAGAGAAAAATAAAGTTTTAAAAAGTTTCTCTTTTTCCAGTCAATCATTTGCTCCCCTTGTCCTCTTCTTGTTATATAATTGTCCCTCCATCTTGTTAGAGTTGTGGGTGGGAGCAGGTGGAGATGGCAAGCTGGGGTAGGGGTGGTGGGTCACAGGGTGAGCTTGCAGTGACACAGTTCTTTGTACATTTGCCTCCTCAGTCGGGGCATATCCTGCTGACCAAAGCTGAATGGCTGCCCTAGTGCAAGACACTTGCAGTACTGCAGGATGGTGGAGAGCAAATGAGAAAAACAACAAGTCACTGGCCTGTAGATTAACAACAACACATTTGTAATAGCACTTCGCATTGCATTAAATACAAGTCAATAGGTCTGTGTTCCTGAGCGACCAGCTTCACAGATCCTCAGCACTCTTGCTGACAGTTACTGCAAGACAGTTGTTTCTGGCCACTCATAAATACAATGCAATAAAACCCTTGTTAACGTATTAA